TTGGTGGGTCACCAGTCGAAAGTTCTACGCTCTCCTACCGGCTATCGTCTCATCGTATCTGGCAAATTTTACACGCGGCATACGTTCACGAATGCAACTCGTTCATTCACTGACGATGAGAAGCATACTATCAGTACTGTGCCTATTAACTTGATTGACAAGTGGAACAAGCCCGCCATGGAGACTTCAATGAAGCGAGTGGCTGGATGAGGGCGGTGTGGCGACATCTCCGTCACCACCACCGGGTGCAGCAGCACCATCACTCCTCGAAGAGGATACAGTGTCTCGCAAGACACACGGCTGAAAGCCAAGAGGTTCTTGACCTTCACACAGTGAGCTAGGTGTCACTTCACCTGCATCTCCTGGGCGCTGGTCGCTTCAGTCGATGTAGAAGCTGGCTGGAAGAAGAAAGATGAAGATAATCAAAGAGCCCAGAAGCGTCTGGCAAAGTATTGCAAACCGAGTATGCACAGAACCTGTGCATGCCAAAGTATCTGGCTACATCATTTTAAGGATAGAAAGGTGGTTATCTTCTACTTAACGACCTGAGAGCCACATCATCGGCGCAACGCTTCACGGGTCGTCCCACAAGGCTGCAGAATGCTGCCATGGTCTCTTTCCTATTAAGCGCTGGACAGACGATCGTGTTTTGCATCGTAAAATATTCATGGTACCTACTGTTATTGCAGTGTACAGCCGTTTCATGAACGGGGTCGATCGTGTTGATCAACTACGTCAACAAACCCATCTCGACGCCGGGAGAAGCGTTTGGACATGACACTATTTACATGGCTAGTGGATCTGACGACTAATAATGCTTTTGCACTCCTGAACAAACTACGGCGTTGTCTCTCACACCTCACGGGTTCAGACGGCGTATTGCGGACGTGTTGGCGAGTAATGAATAATGTGTAAGGCGACGCATATTACGGCGAATAAAGCACGGAAGCGCGAAACACCTGACGACGTGGTTGGTGCGGATTCTTCTCATCATATCATTACGCCGAACGCTACGACACACAGCAACCAAAAGCTGACTTGTTATCTGTATAGTATTAGAGGAATCAACGAGAAGGCAAAATACGGATGCACTAAGTGCGAGAGGAGCTTTCATGTCTAGTGTTTCAGTGCATTCCAATACCAAGCCGTTTCCAAAGTAAGATCCACATATATCCGTGATGCTCCTGACGCCGTTTGCCGTTCTTCAACAGATCACAGGGCCTGCTTTTACTTTGTACGTATCCGGCCAGCTCTTGAGAAGGCCTCGGTTTACGCACTCGGGCACACTTCCGCTTATACCCCCCGCTTTCAAATCGATATACTGGCGGCGAAGAATAGCACGGACAGAGTGGTTTCTCCGTCATTGAGCGTGCACGATCGCAGTAGACGTGACGCGGTCTCACGCAGCTCGTATCTCCCGGTCGCATGCCAAAGATCCACACCGCCCACAGATACCTTGGCTTCCATGCTGATCTCAATTTGAACAGCAGGGTGGTTCACGATAGAGATGGGTAAGCGTTTGAAAGGTTACGGGTGAATTGCGACTGGTAGATTTTCTGTAGTTCTTCGATTGATTTGTTGTGGTACGGGCTAAAGTTCGGTAGCTTAAGGGTGTAAAACAAACTTCAGCTACCGAACCCACAATGCCGTGTTGCACACGAGGGAGCTCTGGATTTTTTTTAGTGGAAACATCCTACTTTACCGGTCCGCTAAAAAGCGACAAGTTCATTTAAATTTCGATAACTTTAAGTCTGCCGAATAAATGTAGAAAGAGCGAGTTTCATGGTAAAGCGCTTTACTCGCACTACCCCCAATTTTGTTTTTGGCAAGGCGAGTTTCCACCAAAAGCGTCAATACCACACATTTAAATGATCACTTTGTGGAGGCTGAAGTTTTTGTTCACAGCATCATCAGAAAAATCAAACTTTATGAAGAAGAAGAAGAAGAAGGAAAAAGAGCTTCGAAAATCAATCTGATTCATAATCGTTTCGAAAACAGCCAATCAGCTTGACATACAAATCGGCTAATGCGTTTTCATCCAATCAGATACTTCTCCGATCCAAAAAAAGAATTAACTCTTAGGTTTTTCTGTAAAAAACCTCGCATGTATGATTGGTCAATGCCCATTCTGAAATGGTTAGGATTGGCTAAAATGAGTTCATATAAGAATTTGTAAGCACACGGATTGAGAATAATTGACACGAAAATGGATCCAATTGCTTTTAGGTATATACCACTAGATTAAGCTCCGTTTGCGCTTTTTCTAGTATATTTTAAAGTTTAATTCTGAATATTTTTGACGCCAAAGCGAAAAAAAATCCACCCCTCCATAAAGTGAGAGTTCAAATGGTCAGGTATTGGCAAAATTGGCGGGAAATTTGCTCACAAAAAACTCGTGCTGACGCAACGTAAGTAGAGCTTCCAAACTAGCTCAACCACGCTTCCGTTGGAGCTGTACGACCAAAGCTATCGCCGATTTAAAGAGCTGTTAATTCTTTTTCGGACCAGACGAGTACGTAAAAAAAATGAATATGGAACAACCAAACACACGAGGTTTTCTTAAAAAAAACTCTTTAAACTCCTCAAAGAACCGGAGAAGTCATTTAAATAGATTAATCATACTACTATGAGCTTAAACTAGCAGTAGATAGAGATAGAATTGGTAAGCGTTACCAGATACTTGTATTGTGCCTTTCCAAAGTTTTTGACCTTTAAAGGCTGGTCCCAAGCAAGGGTGGGTAGGGCTAAAGGTGGGCGAACTGGATCCGCAGCCGTATGAGTGACCATCATTGTGACGGAGTTACAAGCGACATCGTCTTCCGATATGAAATGATTGCAACCTTTTTGATGAAGGTATGAATGTAAAAGGTGCTTTGGTTTAAGAATTCAGACCTCAGTTTAGATCGTTGTAACAACTCTGGACTAAAATCCAGAGAATATAGCCTTTTATTAAAAGCTACCGAACCCTTTAGCTACCCTTTTAGCCCTTAGCCTTATGTCGCAGCTTGCCGGTTTATGAGTCGCACGATGCGGACGAGAGATGATCGTCTGTTGTGATGGCAGACTTTAAAACTGACGTACAGTTTTGCTCTGGTATTTCACTGTGAGCCAGTCAAACCGCAAACGGTTGCAGCTGTTTGAAGTCGATAGAGATAAATCAAGGTTCGTGTTCTCTGTCGATAGCCTGTATTGATATCCCCAATTGTAATTCTTCCAAATATAGTTTTTGAGAGGGGCCAGCTTACAAACTTAAGATGAGCTAGCCTCAATCCTCTAATTAGTGATTAAAAACCTAAAATAATGTGTATTGTTATTAAGAGGTACTTAACTATTGATTGTGTTTGTTCTATCTAGGACGATCGAAGAATGATAATAGTGGCATCTGCTATTATCTCCTTGATTTCCCACAAAAAGTGATGGTAAACGCTCAGATCCATCCGCATTGCATGTAAATACAATCGTTTTTTTTTAGATTATTTCATGCCAGCTAGTGACCCATTTTGTGCGCTCGGAGTCCAACTCGGTAAAGCAAACCGAGCGGTGCGACTTTGTGGTCAGACTGTGCAATGCTATGGCTTCGACTATGCGTTCCTGCTTCAGGATGCTTCTAATCGTTGCCTGTCTTAAAGAGCGCTGTGTATGAGACACGTTTTGAGCTTACAACTCAAGCTGGAAGTAGCGAGGGTGCGGTTCGTTAACTACGAAGTGGCTCGACTGGTGTCGGCTTGCGGTGGCATTTATCTATTTCATCCCAACAGGTTAATGACAAATGCACATCGACGACAGATCTCCGCCACACACCGACAATCCATCATAGTGCCGGGAGTTTGGTTGATTATACCGTATATTGGGTACAGCTCCGAATTGTAATTTCTCTATATAGTAATACAGTGCGGCCTCCCGACCGGATCGTCTGTACAGTACCACTTCTTATTAATAATAAGAGAGAGTTCAGGGTAAGGTGTCAACACAACTTGTTGTGTGGCTCACAAGTGATCGCACAATCGTATGGAAGCCCCTTCGTAAACTAAGTACCGGTTTTGATACATGTCCATAATTTGCTTGCGAACACGGTATTTTTATGTCAGCATTAAGCTGTGGCCCACTTTTTTGGCCATTTTGTACCCCACAGCCTGTGGAGTACAAAATGCCTCACTTCTTCACTGAAGAGTCTGCAGCAATGTGATTCTACAAGTCTGGCTTTCTCTCACAAAAGAAGGCTCTGATTGCCGGCAGTACGTAATCACCGAAGCACAAGATCGTGATCTTCCGCTGTCCAATGCTATTACATGAATTACCTCTCGTATCAAGCACGCGATCTACACTGGTCAGCAGGACTCCCGATTATGACATTGCTATCTCCTCCCTTAGCATAAATAATGACATTGGGCAGCTAGTGCCAATTTATACATTATGGAAAATTTAGTGACCGATAAATAAGAGCATTTGTAGAGCGACTCAACATCATTTTAAAAATGCACAACCTGTCGAAATCACACCGTTGTCGTGCTGTAATAACACTCATTTGTGATGCTTAGCGATTTGTGAGTTTATTTTCAATGAAAATGTCATGGTTTGCATAATGATGAACATTTTTTTCATAATTTACGGTAGATTGGCTTTTTAGCATATGATGAAGTCGACGAAATAAAAATATTTATGATTTCATAAGAAATTACTGACAAGACCATACCTTAATCAGGAGCTCCTGTTGACTACTGTAGATGGTAAACTTTACAGGCCTGGGTCCTAGTACTGTAAAGTTTAGGCTAGGGCTTGATACGAGAGGTAGCATCGGACAGCGGAAGATCACGATCTTGTGCTTCGGTGATTACGTACTGCCGGCAATCAGAGCCTTCTATTGTGAGAGTCGGAGTCCGTTGTGTTTTACCTTTCAGTTTTACTCACTTCCTGTTTTACTGAGTTATTCCCACACCGCTTTGAAACCGACCCCAATCACAAACGTCCCACCTCCAGTCTTTGTCCTTCTCGCGCTAAGAATGCGCCAGGGTATCGTTTCTTTCGTTGTCATCGTTCTCCTGGCTGGTTACGTAGCTGCTTCGCCAGTTCCTGACTCGGTTGTTATCGACAGTGTCAAGACGCGGAGCTACGCTGAACCCCCTGAAACGGTTACCAACACCAACCATGACGTGAGAATCCTGCGAAATCGTGTCACGAACGCTGCGGAAGAAGAAAGAGCCGGATGGGGCGTCAGCAAGTTTCTCGCCAGCAAATGGCAAAGCCTAACGGGGAAATCGCTTCATGTCAAGGATGTGAAGCGCGATTTTGCCATGACCGACATCGCGAACATGCTACAAAGCTCAACCACCAGGCGAAAAATGTTCAAGAAGTGGAATAAGTACTCGATACCGGACCTCCGAACCAACATTGGTGATGACACCCTGAAGCAACCGCGAGTTGCCAAAATGTTTGAGAAATACATCAGGCGACGCAAAGACTTCAAGACGCCTGTAGCTTCGTAGTGGCAATCCTCGTTTCGTTGACAACTTGAAACCTCTGCCTTTACCGTCGTTGTATGCTCAGTGAATACTACTGACATCTCAGCTCAAATACAATTTTTGAGTGTTAGCGTTTGAAGGCATTCGTGCCGTGTTTTAAGGAAAAAACTGCATTCGCAAGATCCCAAAGTCGCTCACGTATGCCTTTGAACTGTTAGTATACCGGTGCCAATGAACAGTTTAATATATTCGAAAAAGTTGATTCATCCTGCTTTCGATACGGTCTCACTTGCCTTCTTCCGGTGGCAAATATCAAAGTCGTCTGTCAGCTTTGAGGAGACGTTCGTCCGGACGATTAAGGTCTCCTTACTACATTACTTTAAAAAAAAAAATTGTGTACTAATCCAACAGTATTGCAAAGAAAGTTGTAGAACGTAGTATACTTCGGTAGAAATCGGATTGTCGTTGAAACTTAGGCGGTAACTTTGTAAACAATTTTAGTCAACATTGGCAACATATTGACTCACAGAGGTACTGTCTTATAATATATAATATGCATCTCAAAAGTGACGTAGCCTGAGCGGGGCTAGTGTACATCGAGGCAAGTGAATTAACCATGTTAGCAAGAGCCCCGATGCCAACCGCCACGGGGTTACCCAAGTTACCCGAAGAGTGACATGTCATTCTTAAGGAGGATGGGTACAAGGTACCAGGGTATCTCGATGCTAACCATTGGCTAACAACATACGAGGATTAGTGACTTTTAGTTTGTATTAGGGCTCATTCCCAAACAAGAAAAGCGTAAGCACAAGTACATCCAAGAGATAAAGAAGCTTACAAAATCCCTTGTGGGCAACCCACTCAACGAATACATCAAGGTGACAGTGACCTTCGAGTAGACCCGGCGCGCACTCAGATGTTCGGGGTACAGTCAGGCACTCTCGAAGAGGTGATTCAGGTGGCCCTTCAAGAAGAGCACAGACACCGCCAGGCGCGTACATCGGTCTCAGTGTAGCCATGGAGCTCATCCCTGAACCCCAATTGGGAACGTCCCAGCGGATCAGGCCTGATAGAGCTTGGGTCCGCCAAAAGTCGCTGTTTTGGTTGCGTGAAGCTGGGCCACTTCAACCGAGACTGCCCCACGAAGATATATATCGCAGGCGATTTCTCACCACGTCCGTCCTCAAGGGTCGAAGGCAGAAGCCAATACTCCGTGGTCAGGGGAGCACTGGAGATCGGTAGGGGCGGGAAGACCTACTGGTAAAGTTCGAAGTATTCGGGAACGGTACGCGGGTGGCGCGTACCCGGGGTTCGCACTCTTGAATCGGCGAAAAGCAGCGATAGACGGCTTGTAGTACATGGATGTGTACGGGAACGATTAACCCTTTATAAGCTTGATCGATTCTGGGACGTCGAAGAATTTCGCACGCCGCCGGACGGTTGCTCGTATCAGCTACAAATTAATCAATGTTTTGAGAGAAAGGAAATGCAATGGGGCAGTGTCGGTGGGACTGGCCGACGGGTAGATGGTCACTGTCCTCAAGGCTCAGATGGTTCTAGCGGTCAAGCTAAAAAAAACGTCGCCCGCTTGGAGCAGTTCTCTGTTCTCAACATGGATCCCTACGATATGATCCTAGCAATGCCCTGGCTCAAGAAACACGAGCCTTGGGTCGAGTGGTGAGGCCACGCAATTGGTGCCAGCCGCCCTGCAGTGTCCAATAGAGCATTGGTGAGTCATGTTCCTACTCTGTCAGGATCTGGGACGCCCACAAGGGTCGCCAAGGTACCGAATCGTCCAGCGGATGCTTGGGGGCTGCGATGTATATGTCGACTCTTGGGGAGCTTTGAAGGTAGCGACGCAGACAGACGTCGGTCAAGTGGGTAACATTGATCCACATGCGGGTAAATAGCTCCGCAGGCGATCACCTAGACCAAGCCTGATGAAGAAGATGGGGGATGCGCTTCCTGTGTGGGTAACATAGCTCCACCCGAGGTCGCCCAGACTATAACTGAAGAGACAAAGCGGGGTGGGCTGCCTTTGTGGGTAACATAATTCCACACAAGGCCTCGTGTGCCTCGGATGTCGGCATCACGACATCCCCAGACGTGTTCCACGTCACGGTCGCCACCGGCGCCGTAATCCAAGTTTGAACATGGTTCAGACTAGCGTTGTGTATAACGACTCGGGGTTCAGCGCCTGGGCTCCTCCGATACGACCGGTGGAAGAGTGTTATCACATCTTCAATGGCGAGACCGGTTTACTTGCCATGGCATCTGCTGTCCACTTGGAATCGTTGCCATAGGTTGCAGAGATAGCGAACTTCGAGAAAATGACGGTTTGGCCAGCCTCAAGGCTGGGAAGATTGTCGAGATGGTGCTCATAAAACCAGAGTCGAAAAGCCGAATTTCCCCTTTGATTTGGACGGGGTCGTCCTATAGGAGTTGAATTAGCGGCGTCTAACGCACTCAAGCTCTGAGAATAAAATCCTTAGGATCCGGTGTATCCTTTGATCTCGAAGTATGTGGGCGTGGTAATAAAGAACATACCGCCCTAATCCCACTAGATCATGATGAAGGGTACGAGATTGATCGCGTGCCTGGCACAACGCCGTGTGTCACGAGGCAGTGGCATCTCCCTTGTAAATAGTTCGAGGTGACGGATGCCTTCTTCGTCGCGAAATCAAAAGCGAAGGCGGACATGATGCGGGTGTCGAAGCCCCCGCACTCAATGCCGACCTTCTGCGCTCAAAACCCGAATGGAAAATGGCGTCGGATTAACGCTTATAGCAAGCTGAACAGCGCGTGGGTACCGGTCTAGACACCAATCCCACGAAAAGATGTGTTGTTGAGCAACATGGCCGGGCGCGGGCTGTACAGTGTGCTGAATTTGGTAGACGGATACTACCAGATCCTGATGCGCGAGAGTAACACCCTACTTACTGCAGAGAGCACCCCAAGCGGCATGCTTTGGGAGTGACAGGGTCTGTCGTAAGCCCCAGCGACATTCAATCGCTTGGTTACGCTGCTGTTAAGCAGCTGCGTACATTTGTACAGGCGTACTTTGACGACAGCTTCGCCCATAGCCGTGCCGTGGAAGGTCAGACGTCAAAAGACATGTATCTGAAGCACCTCTGGTGACTGTTGGACGTCAGGAGATCGAAGAAGCTCTACGCCTACATCGACAAGTGCGTGTTTGCGTCACCAGAGATCAAGGTTCTCGGTTGCTTCGTTATCTACGTCAGGGCTCGAGCCGACCCCGACAAGGTGGAAACCAACTGGTGCTGGGAGCAGACGCATTAGGACACCATTAGCACCGTCAAGGCCAGCCTTCAAGACGCGCCGGTCCTGACCATAAAAGACCAGATGAAGCCGTTCAGCGTCGTCTGTGATGCCTCCAGCTATGCGTTTTGGATGTGCATTACTACCGAGCGATGCAGCAGGACACGAACGAGTCACCTCGCTCCAGTCGAGGGATTTTCAAATCCACCGCGTGGAACTACCCTGTCCGCGACAATTAGCCTCTGGTGGTGAAGTATGCCCTTGTTAAGTTTCGGGTACATCTTTTGGGCTCAAGACCCTTTGTGATCTACACAGACCATGCATCCTTGTGAACGACGACGAATTCGCCTCACCTCTCCCAACGGATGGCGAGGTGGCTGCTCCTTTTCGCATAGTACCGTACAAGCCGAACAAGCTCAACGTTCTTGCTGGCGCCCTATTCCGGTGTCCGGACTACGAGTTGGCCCACATCACACGGGTGACAATGGATCTTTAAAATCGGATACGCGTGGCGAATCAGGACGATGAGGCTATCACGTCCATCGTCAGGTTCCTGGCAGCAGGAACGAGCGTAGCGTCGATCTGAATTTTGCCGCGGCAGCGTTCCCTGCTCCGCCAATATGAGTTAAGGGATGACCACTTTTACCGGGTGAAGCTTAGTGATCCTCCACGGGTCGTACCCAATGACGAGGTTCTGAAGTTTGACGTCCTTGCGGATGCGCACGATGCGCCCTCCAGTGGTCACTTGGTCCATGAGAAGACCTTTCTGCTCGTCTATCAGACCTTGTGGTGGGCCCACATGTAAAAGTTGGTCGCGAGGTACCTGAGGACAAGCGAACAATGGCAGCGGGTGAATCCCGCAGGGCACGCTTCGGCTCCGTCACAGAGCCTGCCCGAACCTACTGACTGCTAACGTCGATGCGTTTTAACTTCATCTTTGGACTTCCGCTGGACACGGCAACACCTGGACTGTGGTGTTCGTGTGTCGGCTGAGCTAGGTGGTGCATATTGCTCCGGTGTCCGTTTCTGTCACAGGCAAACAGACCGCACAGGTGCTCGTCGATGGCGTGTTCCGCTAGCACGGTTCACCCGAGACCCGTGGCTCACCGCATCATTCTGGAAGACGCTATTTCGCTTGCTCGGAACACGTATGTAGATGTCCACCGCTAACCAATCACACAGACGGCGTGACGGGGCGCGTCAATTTAGTGCTCGAGGACGTTCTGCGCAGTGTCTGCGCTGGAGCCCCGTGTACGCGGTCGACTCAGCTCCCAGTTGCTAAGTTTGCGCTCAAAACCGCGGTGTATGGGTCCACGAGCCTCCACCGCTCTACTTGAACGGCTTCCGCCACCCCAGCGTGGAAAGCCCTTTCCTCCCAGGTCTTAGCTGTGAGACCGGATTCTCTGCGGAAACAAGTGGAATCATTTGTGTACACCAAACCGGTTGTGATCAGCAGGGTCCGCAATGCAATGGCAGCGACCCAGGACAGACAGAAGGAGTAATTTGCCATACCTGAAAGATGAAACATAAATGTGGTAAGAATAGGTGAATTGGTGTTACTCGACACTAGGAATCTACCTTTAGACACTGTCAGCTTTGTCGGCAATAACAAGTTAAATCACCTGGCCAGACACGATGCGTCGCACATCATTGGCCTACCAAAGTCAATGACGACGCGCCCGACGCTATACGTTGGACGTCTTATGCGGTACCACGATCCGCAGGGGGTTGGTGCCTCGCATACC